TGGGTAAATCTATTTCCCTAAGCTGAAATAACTGTTTTGGTATAATTATGAAGAAATATTGTATTTTATTTCGATGTTATTGACAACAATGGTACGATTTGTTGGTGAATTAAGTAAAACTCCCTGTTATTCAGTGTCACTGAGGATTTCCTGTTCCTGTGTAAGCTGCAACTTAACTTAGAGGTTCTGTTAAGGGTAATCTTCAACATAGAGGTAAAGCCAGGCTAGCAGTTTCTCACTGCTTTCAGTGTTAAGCTAAGCTAACCATGTGTAACTTTTGCCAGGCAAGGGGACAATATATTTCTCAAAATGAATAAAAAATGCCCAAAAAGTATTCACTTAACAAATAAACTTGAATCTGTTTAATCTTTCAAATTGCTGCTATAAACAGTGCACTGAGCTGCAGCTTTACATACCAACGTTCAACCTGAAAACTGAGTTTATGAGCCACAAACTATTCAAGTGAAACTTTGTCTTAGATCTGGACAGGGGGGTCAGGGCCTTGAACCTTTTATCTTGGAGAAATAACAGCCCCATGTCACACTGATTTATGTGTGTACTATCACTTTCAGGCTCACCAGGCACCAAGCAGACTCTCCTGAAACTCTCCATCACTGACCTAAAACGTCCCTGTGAACCACACCTGACAGGTCAGGTCTCGGCCTGATGGTCATAACAGCCAAGGTCAAGTGAAACTGTTGTCTGCAGTCATCTGGGAGTGGAGCCTCTGGGTCGTAAACACAACGGTCAGCTTGCGGTCAGTATGTGCAGCGCTCCCACGCCACATCATTGTCAACTGAAGCCAACATACAGTGGTCCTCAGATGCACTTAACTGTCGGAAAGAATTAGGGTGATTTCAATTGAGATGTGAAAGTTAAACCAAATAAAAGACAAAGATGAACAAAATAACTAGTTGAATGACTGGGACTAGATAAAAGTGTTTCCCTTGATTCACTTTCTGTCATATAACCGGAGAGGATATGGCATAATATTCAAATCATGGAATTCATACATATTTTCGTCAAATTTCAGTTTGTTTTTCCTTTGTCTGTTAATCAATGGTCAAAAATGAAGGGCCTCAGCAAACACTCAGGCCAGTTACCTCACTGAGGGGAATTACACCCCTATGTGGAGCTTTTGCTGGACTAAAACATTGAAGTATAGGAGTTTTCCAGCTCATCAAGCTTCAACTGAGTTAATGAACCCTCGTGGCCCAGCCCCTACGCTCTGGTCTGAGCATTACTCATGGGCTAAGCAGGGGAAAAAGAAGCTGGCAGTGTTGCTACGCCTCAGCAAACCACTGCACACACACATACACAGATCATGACTGTGGGACTTTTGAGGTCACAGAGGTCTTTGCAACATCTGCCTATCCCATGTGATATCCCAGGAGAGTTAAATCAGGCATCGCTGCGATATGGGTAAACAAACACGAACGTGCTGGGACATAATTGAATTACTTCCATCCGCCAAGAATATTGAAGATGAAGGGTGGATGCCCCTGGACATGTTTGTGTGTATGTTTGAGCTGTAAAGTGAACTGATGTCGTCTCACCGAGAGGACTCTCTGGCCCAGATTCCCTGAGCTCACTCATGTTGTTTTCCACAAGTGTTCAACATGCCCATCACGATTATACTTAAATTTACTTGTAATTTCTTTCATTCTTCTGAAAAATGAGGGAAAAAGAATAATATAGTATGCAGAAACTTTCTGCTGTTTGACACACACAACCCGAACACCCCCCTTCTGCCTCCACAAGCTGCTATGATACATTGTAATGTGAAATACTAAAATAGTCTACCATTGGAATTAATCAGATATATAGAGATAGGCTAGTATATGTATGAGTAAAGGAATAGCTCTTATTTAGGAAATTACGCCTTTTTGCTCTCTTGCCACAACCTAGATGACAACACTGATAACTTCCCGTTCAGCTTTGTAGTTAGTCTCCGCCAACTCAGGACTCTTCATGTTCACCGGTGAGGTGGGGACTGTGTCTGTGTGGTGTTTGGTACTGGGAGGTAGCATTGACTGATTCTTTTAGCTGTCAAAGCTGTTTAAATTCATTGAAAGTGAAAGATGCTAAAATAAAAAGTAAGGAAACCACAGTCTGATATCAATTTTCTAACATTTTGTGAACATCAGTGACCAAATCGTTACATATTGTCATATTTTTTATATATATATATATATATATATTTACTTTAATTTAATGTTGATTAAGTAAGTTTTATATGATACGTGGAGCTTATATAAGAAAATCGTTTTTATTGATTTTTGCTTAAACTCCCCAGTTGTTGAGCATACATTTTACATGTGCAGCACTGTATATATAGTGCAAGCATAACATCATAAAATAAAACAGAAAACACTCAAAACAATTTCAGATACACATGTACAATGCATACATATGTAAGATATTAAGTTAGCGGTGAGCATTAACTGTACTTATCTACAAAGGAGAGCACACGCTGCATTACTCACGATGCCGTTATAATGCACTGCATGCAGCACTTTTTCATCTAAAACATCCAGTGGAAATATGACATGTATTATTTAACCTATTATTAATTCATGATCAATTCCATCTGTGATAAACATGTATGTCTGTGGAGAGCACCAAAAAACTGTGCAGGGAGACTGAAGCATCAACTTAAGAGATACACAGAAGTACCAAGTGAAACGCTTACAGCTTGGCAGCAGTCAGCATTTCCAGTTATGCGATGTTGATTACTTGGCCTAGATACAACAATATGGATTATTCTTATCCTCACTTCTCTGAATGATGTGATGCATCACGGGGCAAAGGCTTTTTAAGTTCACTGGTTTACTTTAAGTGTGTGGCAGCAGAAATCCAATCCAATCACTGTCATGATGAGATATTTCCGTTAAATGACGACCCGGTGTGTGATTCTGGTCTTTAGTTTGCAATTATCACAGCATCAACTAAAGGAAAAACAAGAAATGTATGGATTTGATAAGGATTTTGAAGAAATTCCAGCCACTTGCACTAATGCTTCTATTTGAGCAGAAGCAAAATTGAGAAAATGCATTATCAACTCATCACTGAAGCAAGGAGGAGCTCTGGATCGATTTGATGTAATTACTTGATTTACCCCAAATGAGATCTGGACTGAAAGCTTCTGGCCATTCACGCAGCACTAAAGAGCATGGAAATCTCAGCCTGCAGTATGTGGGAGTAGTTAAGCAACCGTGCAGGGAGAATGCCTTTAGAAATCTGTCTATATTTCTTTTGACGGCTACAGATTACAACTGGATTGGGTTTGAACGTCCGACAAGGCGTTGGAAGAAGTCCCTGACAGAGTTGTGACTGGGAACGAGTGGCTCCATAGTACGCTGTGTCAGAGAACATTAGCGCAAACGCAGATTGATGTTTAAATGGTGATGCTATTCAAGGATTTGTGGGAGGAAAAAATCTTATTTGCTTTCAATGATCTGGTTCATCCCACAATTGCTTGATTGTGCTATTGTCCAGTCGAATCATGGATACCATTCACTGGTATTTTAAGAAAAGATGTCAAGACAGGAACATAATCTTGAGAGAGGAAATTCAAAGCAAGCCAAACCTTACATAAACAGTATAAATAGTGTGTTACAGAATTCTCCAAGGTTAATCTAGGCAGCAGTTTAATGTTCTCCATATTCAGTATGCATTAAAATTCCACCCAAAAAGTTGTAATCCTGCTTGAGACATAACATATAACATGGAACCTATTTGGTTAACATTTAATGTCTGTCTGTGGTTGTTAATGTTTATAAACTCATTTAGTGGTTAGGATCCATGTTTTACCCCTTAACACCGACAACAAAAACAGCAGGTACTTGTTGTTGGTACTTTAATTCATAGTTAAAGAAAAATGACACATTTGCAATTTACAAACCTTTATATATATTGAATATGTTGATTTCATCAGTATGTGCTATAAAGCCTATTCATGTCCACAGTAAGCCTCTTAGCTTTTATTTCCCATAAACGACAATAGATTCACAAAGGAAAGTCATCAGCCTCAACAGTTCCCTTAAATTCAGTAAAGCTGTACACAAAAAAAAAACTAAAGACAAAGGCAAAAACGTAACCTCCTTGATGGAGGTAAATATATAGGCTGCTATGTAAAAGACACAAACAATAGTCCTATAAAGACTTTAGCTTTAGCAGTTAACAAACAGCTACGTACTTGTACATCTGTGAGACATGGAGTGTTATTTGAAGTTGAGTTCCTGGCCAGCTGACATGTCCAATATTTATGACCTCTACAATGGAATTTTAGTCTTGTCTTTTCTTGTTTTTTTCTTTATTTGTTTCTTGGCAGGATTATTCAAAACTTGGTGGGGGGATGTGGTATGGGTCAGGAAAGAACCCAAAACATCTGGATCAGGATTTTGTTTTTTAATTCTTTTAACATTGTGAGATAAGTGACTTGACTTAGATTCAGTGCCTCTGATGCATTGCTTAGCCAAGGAGGTTATCGTCATTAGGGTATGTTGTAAATTAGCAGGATTACGCAATAAATACCAAATGGATTACCACAAAAGGACGCATCCTCTTGTGATAGTGGGTCAGGGAAGAATCTATCAGGAATTTTAAAGATACTAATTTAAAATGTTTAGATAGGGCATTTGTCAAAATTTTCTTTTTCTCTTAGAATAATTCACAGATCTTTATAAACAAAACCAGGCATGTTCAGAGGACTGATATAAATAAGTGTGTGTTATTTTGTGTGGATCCAAATAAATCTGGATCTAGTGAATTTAAATATGGTTTAATAAGAGGACTGTTAAGATCTGGTGAGGATATATATATATATCAACTATGAAGCCAAAACCTTTTCAGGTTTCACGTCCTGAAATCAACAGAAACATTCTTTTAGTTGAATGAGTTGTTTAAACCATGAAGCTAAATGCTCTACTACCCAGAGAATGAATGTCAAAGCTCAGAGCAATAAGGAGTGTGTAGTTCACGTCCTCCTGTAAATCACAGTGATGTGGAGAGGAGGACTGATGCTGCAGCTCACGCCCTCTGACAACAAACCAAACAGGAACAAGGAAGTTGTTGCACCTGTTGCTGCCTCTGACAAACTTTTAATTCCAGTGGCCTCGATCTTTGCTGGTAAGTAAATCCTCTTTATAACTTGTTATCTGTCCAATGAGTCGACACTAAGTGCTTTACTCTTGTGTTTTCTCTGAGATGTAGAAGTTTGGATTGTGAGTTGGTTTGTAGGAGAAGTGTTGACAGGATGTAGAAGCCTTCAGTCAGTACACGTCTACACATCCGTGTTGCCCACCTCTTGTCAGCAGGTGTTCAGAGGCTCCATCATGGCAGAGGCGTCCAGTGAAGAGCAGCAGCAGCCGCTCACCTTCCCCTCCAGCGGCCCGGAGGACGGTCAGGCTGCTGCCCGGACAGAGAGCACCGAGGAGCGGGGAGAGAAGGGAGAAGCGGCCCGGGCTGAGAGCACCGAGGAGCCGGGAGAGAAGGGAGAAGCGGCCCGGACAGAGAGCACNGAGGAGCCGGGAGAGAAGGGAGAAGCGGCCCGGACAGAGAGCACCGAGGAGCGAGTCGAGGCGGGAGAAGCGGCCCGGGCAGAGAGCACCGAGGAGCGGGCAGCAGGAGTGGATCTCTCGGCCAATCACGATCCCATCTCAGTGACCTTAGCTCCGGACCAGTTCAGACGGAGGAAGTTCTTCGTGTTGAGGGTAAACGAGTCAACATTTCCAGCTGCTACAAAGCAAACAGTCCAAAGGCTCAGAAATCCAACTTCACTCTACAAACCATGTGATTGTTTTATCCAGAGGTTAAATCAGGACAAACCTGTACAGTCAGTAGCAGAATGCGGCCTATCCCTGTGGAACTACTTCAAGTTTCTATTAATTGCAGCAGTATTTGGGAATTGGGTACATTTATACATTTGTACTGCCCATATTCACAAATCACAATTTGGTAACAAGGTGTGCCATCCTCTGTCCTTAACCCTCGACTGGAGTGAGAAAAAACGACTATAGTAACCCTGTTATCTGGGGCAATAACATAGAACCCTCAGAGAGAGCCGCACCTGAAGGATCCCTCCAGCGGGACGGGCGGAAGTGCAATAGATGCTTCTTGTCATGAAGCACTTAAACATGATAACAATATTTACAACATTCATGAGAAAAGAAAGTGTGTAACATAGATGGAGACGTGTATCAATGTTTTTAAGTTTTTATACAAAAGAAAACGTCTGACAGAGATGAAGGGAGCAACAGTAACAAGTGTAATGATAGAGGTACTGGCAATAATAGTAGTATATGTGAGTAGGCATATTGTATATCTAAGCAATCTAGTTGTTATCAAAATCCACGATCAGCTGCCACCACGATCCATTTAATACATTGGAGGAGTTCATAGTTGTAAAAAATGTTTTTGCTACTGTACCTGCAAAAAATACTTTGAATACTATAATGTTAAAGGAGATATTGAAGAGAGAGGTGTCATATAAACTCCATATTAGGGCTGACTAAATTGTTCAGCCTGATATATACTAACTAATACGGAAGCCCTAAAGGGTCATACATACGTACATTTTATTCCACCCGTTTTCCTGTGATAACGAGATAATTTTCCTCCGTTTTCCCGTGATAACGAGAAAAATATCTCGTTATCACGAGAAAACGATCTTTGTTATATCGAGATAATGAAATAATAATAAAAAAAAATCGATGGCCGTTCTCGGCTTCCGTAGTCTTCTCAGATGACGCACACTAATGTGTACATTAATTATAGCAAGGCATAAAGCTATTTAAGCCTGTGTCAGGCCTTGATTGAAGAGATATGTGATGCGGTGAACGGTATTCTCCTGCTCCTCTGACATTGCTACACTAAATGATGTTTCCTGCAATGATTTAATACGTTTTGTTTTCTCGAGATCTCAAATTAATTATCTCGTTATCACGGGAAAACGGAGGAAAATTATCTCGTTATCACGGGTGGAATAAAATGTATGTATGTATGACCCTATAGGGCTTCCGTAAACTAATATTAGTTTGTATCTGTGTATATCTTGTCATATAGTACCGAGAAATCACAGTTCAAGAATGTCATTCACAAGCAGTTTTTAAATGTCATAGTTTATTTTTCAGTCATGTTTATATCTTGAACACAATTATTATTCTTGTGGTGAAGTTGCATGTTGCAGCTGAATAACCCTCACCTCACCCTCTCCTTCCAAACAAGAGAACCTGTGGCAGCCTTCAGTTGTCATAAAAACTCAATACGTTTCGACTGTAATAAACATGGCGGCCCTGTGCAAGGAGGACCTTCTCCCGATTTAAATATAAAGTATTTAAATATAAAGAGCTCATTCTAGGGTCAAGAAAACAACAATTGGTACAATTTAGTGAAAACATCACTACTGTAGGGATTAATCATCACCTCTGTGACACAGTGTGGCACAGTAAATTGAATATTATCTCAGAGGGAGTGGGTCTGTTGTATTGGAGTGCAATGGAGAGTCGGTCACACCTCCCATGTTGCCAGGCTGACTCAGCACCAGGCTCAGATTACACTCAGACTGTCAGGAGTCCTTAGTGTGAACTCATAATCTTTTTTAAGTTCTCCAACTTGGCATTGAAATAAATCTCAAAGTTCAAGGATTGAATGGCACGCTGTAAAAAGTGACTGTGTGTATGGGTAGCCTTGGTAAACAGATGCTTTCACTGTGTAATGTATTGTGTACTGAAGCTTTCTCCAGTGTCTTCAAATACCTGAGTTACTCAGATTTATACTTGGAAGCTGTGCGCGCAGCTGTCTTCATTTAGTCATTTTCATATGCCAAGGCTTCATGTTTTTGTTTATTGTTACTCTGTTTGACACGCAGACGCACTGACATTTTGTTGGAGTACCCGTCCCAGCTGCGCTTCTGCCTCAAAGATTACCCCTTAAGCTTTCTGTGTACATATTGTGATTGTCACAATGGAAAATTAGAAAGTGACACCCGTGCATTTCTGTCTCTGCAGCCTGGCACTCTGAATCAGGCCATCAAAGATGTTGAAGCTCTGGTGGATAAAGAAATAGATGGCAGCATTCACAGCATCTGGCTGATGGCAGAGTGAGTTCATGAGACCATGTTTAGCTTTGTGTTCATGTTCACATGCAGAGTAACATGTGCAAAATGAAAAGCTCGAATTAATATTAATATTCTCTCTCTTGTTGGTGATACGTGTCCCATTTGTCAACAATAGTAACACACTATTCATTTAGATTTTTTGTTTCACATATTTGTCAGCAAATTGTAATATATTTTCACACATGAACCAATCTATAGAGTATCTCATAAAGCATTATAAATTAATGTGTACAAATCAATTCACAAATGAGTTTGAAACTATTAAATGTAGGTTTATTCTTGACCCTGGAAATAGTAAATGGGGGGGGGTGTCTTTCAATGTCCTCTAAAAGCTTTCTGCATTGGAGGATATAGGGACACCAGGAGAAGCAGGGTTTGATCAGCGGTATTAAATAAGAAGCAAGGCCTGTGCTAGTTGCAGCTGATAAGCTTCCAAACTTAATTTGCTCCTTCATCTCTGGCTGTTGAAAGAGGAGTGATAAAGATTTTATATGCTCGTTATGTACTGAGAGGAAGGAGCGAAGACAGCGACCGCCTGTCTTAAAGTCCACACGTGTATAATATACCGCAGAGCAGAAGCGTGATGCCTTAGCGTTGGATCCAGACGTCTTTATTAGTTAACCTCTCACTCACATATCAGTGCCCTTATCAAACCCAAAGCTCATGAGTCAAAGCAGAGGTAGTGATCTATGTGACTCGAATGCAGAGTAAAATGAAGTGACTGCAGGACATTTACCAAGTGCATTTGCAGATGTCAGGTTGCATCACTCCTGAATGAGCTTTCAGGAAACATTAAGGCTGCCCATGTGAGAATGAATAATACATCCCATTTATGCGGCTCTGTCCAACACACGTTAATGTTTGTCCTACATTTTGCCCACTGTTATTGTTGTGGCAACAGATGGCGCTGCAGGATGTCTTGCATTAGAGGGAATTCTATGGTATTCTGTGTGCTGAGCGGTGACTAATGTCAGAGAAGCGTGAGATCTAAGAATCTGTAGTTTGTCCTTCAGAGGTAAATCACTGCAGGCCTCCGTGTTTTGTACTTAGCCCTGTGTTATAGTGTCAAGCCTGAGCGGCAGCAGTGTGTCACGCCTCCCACAGTCTGATCCAGGATCTGTGTAACACCTCTGTTCCATCAGTGACCCCAGCCAAGGTCAAACTTATTTTATTAGTACTGTCAAATCTCTTTACCCACACCTTCCCCATGAGGGGTTATTCAGTCAACTGTTTTTTATTTATTTTTTTGGTTTTGTTTTTTTGTTCTTTGCCTGCGGCTGCCAGCAGCAGTCAAGAGAGTTTCAGTTGGAGTTGGCCACGTGCACCCGGCTCAGTGGGCTGTAAGAAAGAGAGCCACACCAAGAGAATCCATGCCAAGATGAATTAGTTGTGTGTGCACAGCGGCGAGGGGGAGAGTGTGTGTGAAACGATGCTTTTTCTGACTGCTTATATGCGTTTGAGACATTTTTAGAAGCACTTTGAGGGCATAAGAGAAAGTGGATTTGTTGTTTTAAAGGTGTTTTATGTTTATTCGATTCTTCTCTTTTACTTTCTCTTGTAAATAAACTGAGGGACTTAAAAATATTTGCATGCATACTGATTGATCCGAGGGCATTTTTGGAAATTATTAAGCTTTTACGGAACATAATTGAGCAGCTTTGCCATACATATTTTTCGTCCATCCATCTATTATTTATACCACTTATCCTTTGAGGGCTGCAGGGGTACTGGAGCCAATCACAGCTGACTTTGTGTGAGAGGTAGGGTACAACCTGGACAGGTCGCCAGTGTCACAGGGCCAACATACAGAGACAACCAACTCACAACAATTCACAGTCACCTTCACACCTATAGCCAATCTGCAATTAACCTAACCCCAATCTGCATGTTTTTGGATTGTGGGAGGGTCACGGTGACCTCTTATGAGTCTGAAGAAATATGATTATTGAGTGAAACTGCACTGGTTGACTGAGGCATACAACTACAGGGCCATTATTCTAGTTACCTAGTGAATTACTGGATAGTTTAACTGTAAAACAAAGTAAAAGTTGAAGGTTGGTTGAATTTCATCGAGGGGTCCCAATCTAGAAATGTTTGAATCTGATGCTACAGTCTAAACCTAACGCTGTACTATACACAGGTACACAAATACAACCAATGAAGTCTAATCCAAAAGTCCTGTGAGAATCCTCCCTCCATTAAAGTTGTTCAGTTTTTTCACAACTGCTTTTAATGGCTCACAAGTACACTACTCATTTTAGAGGCATCAGTTTGTGTTGCATTATACCAAGAAATGTTTCCATTACTTAACCCACATTTCTTCATTGATATAAATGGGATGGACAGCACCTGCGGTAGTTTATACTCGTGTTTTTCCACTAGAGGTCTAATACAGTATCCTTGTCTATGTATTTTCTCAGGGTTGATCACTGGAACAATGAGAAGGAGCGTCTTGTTCTCATAACAGTCAACTCTCTCCTGATCTTCAAGTACGACTTTGTCATGTTAAAATGTGACCAGATCCAGAGGATCCCGCTGAACTTCGTGGACCGCATCTCTCACGGCACCTTCAGCTTCCCAAAGCGCTCCATACTCAGGTAGGTTCACTCATGTGAGTCTTTATCGTTCCTGCAGCAGTTAACAGTGGACTGATGAACCTGCAGCTTTTCTGAGGTTAACATCTTATAATTTTTGGTGGGAAGCGACAACCAGGAAACTTGAGCTTAACAGAGATGTATTCATTGCTATTTGAACACTGTGCAAAAAAAGAATTGTATTATAGAGAAAGTCTTAGAGCTCCTGTCTCTATTTCAGTAAGTCTGCTCAAGAATTTCTCTGTAGAGTAGCTAATTAAAAAATAAAAACCCGACTTAGAGAATTACAAATATTAGCCCCAATTATCTGCTCCCTGCTCTAATTTTGCTTCACAAAAGGAAGTTTCTCTCTGAAATAAATCCCTTTGTCTGATGATTAACATTAAGCTCTGCCACAAAATCTGCCTAGTCACATTTTTTTCTAGGTTTCCAAACTTTTTTTAAGTATTGTATCATACAACACGTCTTTATGTAACAAACTTATTGAGAAATTTGAAGATGTCATGAAAAATGCAAGACGGAGCCTTTTTCATTGAATTTCAAAGATTGCAAGAGTATGAATGATTTACTAAAAAGTAGTCACAGTGATTTGTATTGTCAGTGAGAAAAGTGACAGGAAGCAGAGGGCATCGATCACAAAGCTGCGTGGTGGTGAGGGGGATACATGCAGAGGATCAGTTCAGGTTAGACGGGATCAACCAGGGACACGTGGAACAGCAGAAGTAAAACAGGGATGGCAGCAAGACGAGTGTGCAGAGAGGTTTTTCGGGGGTAAGGAGTGCATAGCTGTCACTTGGAGCTGTCACTTAACTGATTAGTGGCAAAATTAATGTAGTCCTTTCATCTAAACCTTTTAAAGACGGCTCAGGGGATACCAAACCAACTAAAACTAATTTGATGAATAAAACGTAATGTGCTGTGAAGAGCTTAGAGAGCGCAGCCTTTATTGGAGGCTTTATCTCTGCACATTACGTTAAATTATACATAAAACGCTTGTGAAAGCCACCCGGGAGTCAAACAGTAAAGAGACGGTTTCAAATAAGAAAAACCAGAGCCTCAAACATTTCCTCTTTCTGTCTTCATCTTCACCGCTCCCTCCCTCTTTCTACCAGTCTTCCTCTCTGTCTCTCCCTCAGGAAGTGTCTTCCTTTTTTCGTCTAGGTCATTCTGTCTTATTTCTGGCAGACAGTGATCAGTGAGTGCATGTACATATGAAAATGAATACTCGCTGCCACTGTAACCGTACACAAAACTTTGTTTCCTCATCACTTAATCACAGTGAGAGGACAGTGCTGAAAGTCGGGCTGAGGAAATTTATCAATGTTACATTCATTTTTCAAAACCACTCGTAGTGTGGAGTTCTGGAGGACCACAAGTGTCACTCAAATGGTAATAAAGCATTTTATTAATGCATTTCACAATTTATTATAATTAATCTACATACTTAAAAATAAAACAATGAACAAATATAACTATATAAGAAAGCAATTTATTATTTGATATTTTATTAGAAAAAGATTATTAAAATAGTTTACAAATTAAATATGAATCCATGAATGGTTTACAAAGGGTTTACAAAAATGTATGATTAAACAGAAAGATACATTTATGAATACATTGTGAATTTATAAAATGTATTTGATAATACAGAAATAGATAACTTAATTCAGAAACTGAATTTTTTTAAGAGATTGAAAACATTTCCCCGTATAGTTTGACCACAGTAAGCTAATGTAAATGGAAAGTCAAAACAATGAGCTATGAGAAGTTTAAATGTTCTTAAAAGAAATAGGGGACCTGCGGTGTGGATGATAATTATCTGTGGGTTGGTCACTACCAGGGGCCCTTTCCAGATATTAATAAGTCATGTGATCTATTTTTAATACAAAAGCATTGATTTAAGTCGTTTAAACTGACTTTAGAGGTGAACTGATCCTCTCACTTATTCAACAAGAAAGTGAATAAGTGTATTTGCCAAACAGTTTAAAACCTTCTTTACACTCTAGTTATCCGTGTGTATGTATTTCATATATAAAGGATGTTGTTTGATTGACAGTTGAAGTAAAAAGGCAGCAATTAAAAGCTTTTAATATAAAAACGTCTTCAGATATCAGTGATCCCTACAGCACAGTTAAGCACTGAACTCTGGATAATCTCCAACATTCTCTGGAGGGGCTGTATGTGTAAATCTACAAAACATCTCACCACATCATCATTTAGACTCTAACGACTGGTGTAATGTGAAGCAAGAGTTAAGTGCACACATTCATGTTCAAGATGTAAAGAAAACATTACACTCAGTAAGTAAGACTTGTGTGTGCACCACCTGTGCACCTGTTTAAAGTGGAACTATTTTTCTCATTTCTAGCTCCATGTTTTATTCTGTGAATCCACTTGAGTAATGCAGGATTCACAGAGGAAACCAAGTGCTTATTTATCTCTGGGCTGAGTTTTTCCGCCCCTGGTATTAAACATACAATACTTGAGAGAAGACAAAGACAAAAAATAAATACAATAAAGGGGGGAAAAAAATCACTTATCACATACAGAACTATTATATATCTATTAGTTAACCTGATAAAAAGCTTTGTATCTCTCCTCCCAGGCTTCCTCCAGACTACTGGCTGATATAACTACATACAGGATACGCTGATTTGAGCTGTCACAGTAATGACACTTGTCTTGAGTGTGAGATAGCTGCTGTTGATTTGTTGATTGATTTGTCCGCCGACAGTTGTCATCTGACCACTTGATGTCAGTGTGCACCCTTGGTAGTGAGGGTTCAAGACAGCAGCACGCCACATCACATTTCTTCATCAGTTTGACGTTGTCACGGATGTTTCTGATTCTCTGCAGCTAGAGAGCCTGTTCACTGTGTCGCCTGCAACAAATAAGACGCCGTCACAGTCACTGCATTAAAAGAGCTTTCTTTCTTTCTCCGCACCGTGGCAGTTAATTGCAGTAGATGTTGCATAATCATTTTTTATGTTCTCCCACATTCTCTTTTTCTGTAGCAGCTACTGCTCGTAGAGCTTTGTTTTTCAGCTTATTTTGCAGTGATTTCCTACATTTTATTGCTGTTAGATCAAAGTTAAGTGTTTGTGAAATCACCACAGGCCACCACAGCTGCTGATTATAGCATATTAGTATGTTATATCAGAAGTAATGTAATTAAACTTATGTGATTGAGACTGAAAGCACTCTCATGAATGTCTGACCCTGGTGTTCCCAGACCATCACAACAAATAATATCAATCTCCCTCTGTAGAGCGTCTTACTTGGCGTCAGTTGCCTCGTCTGTGCCCCATCAGCTTCCCAAAATTTTGATGATGCCAATAAAGGGTGTTCGGGGAGAGTCTGTATTTTTAGTCCTGATGATTTTTGTTTTCATCACACATTCTCCAGGTAGAAGCAAAAAAAAAACAAAGTATATTCGACATCTGTGGGGAAAGATGTGTTTTAAGTGCCTTCTTTCCAAACTGTCTAGACAAACTAATTACCCAGAACATCAGCTATATTTTTTATTCCTGTCTGAAAAAGCTGGGTGTGGAGGCTTAAAGAAGCCTCGCTAGAGGTTGCTTCAGTAACTGTTGTAAAAAATATATATATTTATGAAGGCTGGAAATAATCCCAGCACTGCTCTCCTCTGTGTCTCTCATCTGATTGGGTGGAGGGTTTTCTTCTGAGCAAGGCCTCAGAGGGAATCATGCCTTATTTAGCTCCCCACCTTCAGCTTCTTAAAACAGTTTAATTAACTTGAATATCCTCCTGACTCTGTCAATTGATATGCTGACACAAGTGAGCTCCTTCATTTTTAATGTTGTTTGAGTAGGGTGCAAAATCTGTAGTTTGAGTCCCTCAAACGTGCTTTTAAAAGTCATCCTCCTCTCATTCTGCAATGTTTCTGACCACACCTGTACAAAACAAAGCAGCTAACACATTCAAACAGCAGAGGGCAGTCAGTAAGTGAGATCATACACATGACATCTCACCACATGATCCTTTACACTGTCAAAGCTGGTGTAAGAGTGTAATGCACATATCTAAGTTTAAGGTGTAAAGAAAACATTTACTCAGCAAGTAAAACAACCACCTGTTGTCTTTAAAGTGGAACTATTATTCTCATTTCTAGCTCTATATTTTTACTTTGGGTCTTCACTTGAGTATCTTCGCAGGATTCACAGATCAAACCAAGTCCTTATATAACTCAAACTGCCTATAGCGATATGGAGCCTCTGACAGAAACAGGAAATATTAACTCAGGCCTCCTTAAAAGCTCACCTGTAATCTGACTGGCTAAACATCCAGGAAGCTGCCGTCTCATCCTCTCACCGATGTGGAGGCTCTGAAAGTTGTAAAACTGTGAAATTATGTGAAAGAACATAATTGATTTGAAATGGCAACTTCTCTAATCCATCCGTACATGTCCACGACTGAATCTGATCCTGAATATGAGGGAGGAAAGCACAAACATTAGCAAAACAAAAATTACAGCAGATCGCTGTTCGTCTCTATCTACCAACCCAGTCTTTCAAACATAATCTGTATGTATCATTTTTATAAATCCCCCTGTTAAAGGTAGGGTTGTTTCTGAAACACTTTTTTATCATATTTGTTCAAATCTTTCAAGACCCAAAAGAAATCAAAAGTCACCTGCTTCATACTGTTTAGTACAGGTATGTTTTTGACGTATTCATATTTAAAAAATAGTGCTGGTAGTAGCAGCTCTGCTGCAGAACTGCCAGTGTGAACAACAGACAACTGTGACAGGCAGCAGAACTGCGGTGCAGCTGTTCCGTGGCACAACCGCAGCCAGTGTGACCCGGGCATGACACCTGAGCTTTTGTCTCACAACAATTACGTCTACACAAATAATGTTGTTGCCCCTCTCTGTTTGTTTGTTGGCTGGTTTGTTTATTTGTTAGCAGGATTACCTAAAAAACCTACTGAACAGATTACCATGGTGGAAGGAAGGATGAATGGCTAAGAGAGAACTCATATCAAATTTGGCTTAGATCTGAACAAAGAGATAAGCCTTTTTATTTACATTTTTACCAATTTCCCAGGGAATAATTCATGGAACTTGGGATATGCAGCTGACTGATATGAGTGTGTGCAATATGGCGTAGCTTGGTTGAATTTAATGGGTCTGTCAGTCCTCGACGGAGGGTTGTACCTTTATTTAATACTTTGAAGTACTGGGTATTTGTTTTTAAAGGCTTCCACTGCACAGAATGTAAATTCTAAACTCAAACTGTACTTAGTACAGTCATTGTCTAATTTACTTGTAGTACATTGTAGTACAATCACACTAATTTGATTGCAATGAAAATGTGCTTGTATGTCATGTCTGTTTGTTAGTTTGAGTGTTATTGTGATCTTGTAACCATTTTATTTATTCATTCATATGTTTGTACTTATACTAAACTGTGTCCAGGGACACCTGGAAGAGTTGTTGTTGCCATGGTAACTACTAGTGAGGATCCAAATAAACAACAAACCACATAGGCCTCCATTGCATATTGACACCAGGGACTGGCATTGTACAGTCTATATGTAGCACGGTATATGAGCAACATGAATGATTCTCAATGATTCTGAATTCTTTTTTTTCTTCTAAAACACAAAATGCAAAATACATCTATCCATGCAAAGAGAGGAGAGAGAGAAGTGGGTTTGAATTCTCTCACGAAATCAAGTCTTTATATCACCAGAACACAGCATCGCCCAATATATCGTAGCTGTACCTATAGCATGAGTCCTTAAACCCAGCAGGAAAAAAGAAAACCTCACATCTCCAAAACAAAGCATAGATCAAGAGCAAGCAGGCTGCTCCCAGGACATACAGCATAAATGAATCAACACCAGTGGATTTATAATGTTCGAGGCATGCTGCTGTAAATTCATCCACCTTGGGAGCATCTTCCAGCTTGTGGATGTGCTTTTTCAAGGAGGAAATATCTCAACAGCCTGCAGCTATGCTATCACAGCTTTTGCATCATAACATTGGAGTAACTGTATTTTTTTCGGTTTCTGACGCTGCCTGAGCGGCTTTCTCATCAATAATGTAAATATCTTTTTGAGCTGGAATATCATAAAACTGTTTCTAACAGGTGATCTAAACTCTTTGTCTTTGTTTCTGGAGCCAAAACTCCACCCTCGTCTTTTTTATGAGCCTTTCACATTTTTTATGAAACCCTGTTGGATGGATACATGTATGGTGGCTGACAAACCTGCAGGCTCTATTGAGCAATCAGAGCAGATTTGTTTGTTCGCTCTGAGACAATGTGGGACACTTGCCATGACAACTGCAGCTGGGCTTGATATTTATCTTTTCTGTTGACTTGCAAGTCTGAAGCACTTGAAGTCCCAGAGAGTAATTTTTTGTCACTTGCCCCTGAGCTCAGAATACAGTGTTTCTCCTCTGCACATGTGCGTTTTTTGATAAACACTGTGGACTAAGTTATTTAAGTGTTAAACTTATTAATAACAAAACTCAGGTGTTGTCTGCTTTTGCTCTTTCTGTTTTTTCGTGACTGTGTGGAAGTGAGGCGCAGTGAAAGTACCAACCCCAGCTCTGCCACATAAACACAGTGAAGACTTCCAAGGCCTCTGGCAGCAAAGCCCAGCCCTGCCTTGCCTGTTTGGGCCGGTCCCGCTCCCAGTGATAGCTTACCTGTGGAATTTGCCAAAGCTTTTTTATATCCCCATGTATACAAGGGCAATAGCTGTGTGCACTTACAAAGGACAATGTGTACCAACGTAACCCAACCATCCTCACTCGCTTTTGCTGAAATATAATCAGTCTTTAGTCGGGTCTTTGCTTTTGTACCAGGTTTTTTCTTTTCTTCCTCCATGCATAACATTTACTCTGGAGGAGGCACAAAATGTTCAGCAGCAGCATTGTCATTTTTAAAATGCTTGTGTAAACAGGGCTAGATGATTGCATTATGATGCAGCCCCTCCCTGGGACTGTGACATATCAATAGCTCCACCACTATTGTTTAGCCTCCGGTGTTTAATTCTGGTTGGCAGGAAGTGCTGTTGCACAAGCAATGTGGTAAAATGAGCACATCAGCATGACAGATCATTAATGATATGTCACACCTCGATTGGGAAATGGCCTGTGTGCCGATTTCTTTATCTAACTTTCTTCATAGTTACCTTTTTTTTGTAAACCACCACGTACATGATGGATAAAACATTGCACAGTTACATTTTTTTACTCCTTTCACGCTGACAGCTAATGGTATTAGTCATAGCTGTTGACAGATTCACAAAAATCATAATAAGATACACTGTTTGCGTAACTTTTAACATGCACACTGGCAAACAGGGTATTGTTTGTTGTTGGTTGTTGGTTGTGATTGTGGTTGTGTGTACTTGGAAGTGTATCTCCAGATGAACACATTTTCCTAGATAACCTCGTAAATAAATAGAGAGACAATCTAAAGTTCATATCAGTCTTGGATTCCTCCTCATGTGATGCCAAATGATAAGTGACATTATGAAGGGTCACAATGAAGAAAAGGATGTCATGGTATGTTTTCATTCTAAAACCAAGTAGGATATTTTTTGATGTCATGATATCACTATGAAAACAGAAAATTATGTCATATATTTTAGAAATTCATTCACTTTTGACCAGTAAAATTGGAGACTACGGCTATATATTAACCACTCGTTGTCATATGGTAAAAATGACATCACGATTACCATTTTAAAAAGTCAGCTTATTTGCAGCACACAAGGGCAGGGTATGCAAAGTATGACTTTTGCATCCTTAATGTAATTAAACTACTGTAACAGCATCAGCTGTGTTGTACTGTTTGTGATAACGTCAGACTGAGGAGAAAAACCTGCCTCTCTGGTTTTTCCAGGCCACTTTCATGAATGAGGAATGATAGTTTTTTACCCGCTCTATCAGGTGATGATCAGCCTGTCTGAACTCCACCATGAAGTTAGTATTGATAAAGTTACACAGACCAGGGTATTTAAATGTACATAATCCCAATATAACTGTTCGTTTCAATGGAAGACATATTGCACAGATCAAAGTTAAATAGTGGACGTTAAGTCCAGTGCAACAACAAGCAACAAGGTTGAGCGATATTGTTATAAAGAAGGCTTGGGGCTAATTCTTTTTTGTTGTCGATTAGCTTACTGATTTATGATTTTTACAATGTCCAAGTGCCCAATGTGATGTCCTCATATTGTTTGTTTGTCATATTGCAGGTAATTTCAAGATTGAGTAATACAATCTTAATTTGCCTAGTATTTTGCCTTTTACCTGTAAAAGTATGAAAATTGGCATCAACCTCATGTGTGCATTGTGTTTAGTGTAATTAGTAAATATTTACATGCTTAACATTAGCATTCAGTATTAATATAAGAATTGTAGCACAGTGATATTAGCATTTAGCTCAAACTAGCCATTCAAATGAATCTTAGTCTGGTTTCCACAAACTGCATGTCAGTGAAATTGACTGGAACATTTGTACACATGTTTTTGATAATAATATGTGTTTTTAGATTTTGCTGTGAAATTATTTTACTTGATGTTTAAGAGGTTTTTCTTTCTATTTCCATCTCCATTTTCTCTATTACATTAGCTCATGTTTATTGGACTTCTCTTTAGGAAGATCTGTCCTACAAAGATATGCAGTCTATGGTGTTTTAAACTCTCTTTGACCCTCTACCTTTTCAAAAGGAACAAAGATACCGTATTTAACCCATATATTATAGTCTTAGAGGTATGCAAGGCCTAGATCACCTTCAATGGACAAACAGAGAATTGTAAAGATCTTCACAGCATGTTCAAGATCAACACCAACATGATTTCAAAGATGGGATCTCTGAGTGTGTGGTGGTCTGTTTGCTTTCAGTCTTCTGAGGTTTCATTAGCTGAGAAAAGATATGACCTCAGGGCATTTTCATTAAAACCTATGGTATTTACAGACTAAAGAAAGAACAGCAGAAGAAAGAGAATATAAGAGAGTATGATGAACACACTGTAAATTACCTCTAAGCCTGGTAAACATGAGATTGCCCTCACATTAAGTATTTGCCCTGAGGACAGATTAGTGGCATTTTTTTTTAAATTATTCTAACATTGTTACCATGGAGCTAACAGGTCTGGTAATTCCCCTTTAGGGAAATAATGTGAACTGATGTTAAAACCATGAAAGAAATATAATGGTATATTAAGGGGTATTCATTTCATATCAGGAATTACGCTTTTCTATTTTTGCATACCGGTACAATTCTGCATGGTGCTGCATAAGTTCTTAAGGTCAACAGTTGGCGATGGCAGAAACTGCTAATTTTTAGCTTTAGTTTTCCCCCTGATAATCAGTTAATCTCAATACTGACTCTCAATTAGTTTCTCACATCATCAACAAGATATGCAGATTAAAAGTTATATTTTTTCAATTACAGAATACAGACACATAATTTAGGCAAAACTAGACCCTAAGTAGAGAGTATATCTCAGGTTTTGCATACAAAAAAATGCAGCATAATCATCACTTAAGAAACACCTCTCAGATGTACAACAGTAGTGTATGTGGCCAGAGAGAAAGAACACAATTATATTCAGTCCTTTGTACCTGATTCTCAATGGAAAACAAAACATTACATTGCTGTTAGAAAATGTTGATGTGATGACAACATTAACGGCAGAAGCTGAGGTTTTATCACAAAGTTGAGTGGAATGTGTCACTGGCAGTGTGATACTCACAGTGTTTTGATGTGTTCAGGAGAGAAGGGGAGGGGGTGCGAGTCTTCTGGGACCGGCTGAGAGAGCCCTCCTTCACCTCCAGGTGGAACCCCTTTGCCACTGACTACCCTTTCAACACCTTCACCTACCACCCTGTGAGGAACACAGATGACATGTTTACTGCGCTCTGCGACGTAAGTTGATGGTTGTGATTTTATTTATAGATGCACAGTGTAATTAAAGTGAAAGGAATTTGATTTGTGATGCTCCTGGTGCTGAAAAAAACAGTTCCTAGTTAGTCAAACACCACTAACCTATAACCAACCAGAGAATGAAGCCACATCAGTACAGTCGAGTGCTCAAAGCAAATTCCAGACTGAAACGTTGCCACGGGCTTTTGCCTGCAATGCACAATATGGCCAAGAATCATAAAGGTGGAGGAAGGTAAAGGTTGCCACTTCAAAGACATGGCCCCAACGTACACTGGCAAGATAAGTTATAAGCATCAAGTGACAAAATGTATAGTTACATTGATATGATATGACGTCTATCTGTATGTGAGCTGTTGAGTCATAGAGCTCTTCAATTGACTATGATGTATTTTAACTTCAGTTGTTTGTCTCATGTCTTAAGTTTTCCACCTAAAACTGTTTCACAACATAAATAATAAACCCATTTACCACAACTTGTTTTGTAATTTGTAAATACTAAAACAGTTTGGTTTCTGATTCATACAGAGTCATTATACATGACATACATTATGCACATTTCAGTGACTGTACATTGAGGTTGACTGGCAGCTGAAAAGCAGACTGCCACTGACCACCTGCATGAAAAGTAAAAGGAATCACCTAATTCATCCTCTGGTGACCATTAGTGTCTGTCCAACATTTCTATCTGATAGCTGTTGAGATATTACCACCCCTGACCTGTCAACTGAGACTGGCTCCAGCCCTCCCATGATCCTCAAACAATAAGCAGTATGGGTGGATGGATGGAGATTGATCTTGATTGAGTGTGATCAGTTACCAAGAAACAAGTTTAATCATTTGATTGAATGGTGCTTGACAAGATGTTTGATTGAAGATTGACTCACATTGAAATAAGCAGTTTTTAGTGTAAGACTTGATTCCCAGAGAACATAAGTAAAGTTTCACCCTAAATCAAGGGTGTGAGAACTTCCTCCTGGAAATAAATAATAATAGTGTTTTCTGACAAATGTCTGATCATCCTCTCTTCTTGTTGACAGATCCACAACTTTCGTGTGCAGCTCCTGCATGCAGCACAGAAAGCCCATGCCATAAAGCCCGTTCCTGGGAAGGCCAATGGTGTCCTGGTCTTGAATCAGCACATCCACATTGAGGCCTATGTCGGCCTTATGTCTTTACTGGGAAACCAGAACAAACTGGGCTACTGCATGGCTCGAGGAAATATTGGCTTCTAAACATAATCATATAATTTATTGCTGTTTTGAATTCACGTTGATACTTTCGTTTACAGAGAATTAATTATTCTTGAAGGATTGACCAAAGATTTTTTTCTGTATTCAAGTTTGCTTTTGTTTCACGTTGAAGCCTGGCTTCTCAGGATGAGGTGTATGAGGTATAAACAACTGTGTGATCTCCCCCACTGCTTATTACCAGTGTGTGGTGTCTGAGCACTCACAAATATCCACATTTCAACACCGCTCTTCACTGGATGACGGATCTCCCGCTGCTCTCAAGGAGCTTTGTATTTGCTCCTCAGTGATATGGTAATTCAACTCTTTTGCAACGGGACTCCTTTCTTCCTCCCCCAGTGTCTCTGCTAAAAGCTCATTCCCATGCCATTCAGCCCCTTAGAGATTCACTGGAGCACGAGGGCACATTTGTCAGTTTATCATTTGTCGTGTATTTTTACAGTGCACACAGTGCTGGAATTTCCCTTTGATTTGTGTGTTTACTGTGTGTCATTCTGCCTTGTTTAGTATCATGTGTTTGTCTTGTAAGCCTGCCCCTGACATGAAAACATAAGCCGACATATTTTGTTCTCTTGTTCCTTTTTTTGTTATAAAAAGATGTGCTGTTTTTGTATGCAGGTTCCTATGCGCTTGATTAGTGTATTATTACATTAATACCTTGTTCTTACAAAAGAAGAATTCATACTAGTTGAAATGTTAACCTGCCGGTGACCTTTGACCCTTCTGCAAGGCCACAATTTGTGACCATACAAAGAGTATCCATACCTGACCTGAGTAACATCATCACTTATGTAGAGTTATTGTATTATATTAACAGTTTGTCCTGGTTGGTATGGTCACATGTAGTTACTACCTTCTTTGTTTAGTGGTTTTAATATGAAGCAGCAGCAGTAGAACATGTTGAGTTTGCATTAGCAGTATTTTAACAGTTCTTATAACCATCAATGTGATAAGATCTACGTAAAATAACAGAAATTGTCTTTGAGAAAAATGCATTCAGTGTTTACTTTGACTTTGTAGTTTGGCCTATCTACTAACATGGTGGAGGCGGGATTGATATGGCAGCCAGCCACCAGGGGACAAACAAGACCCTTTAGCTTTAGTTTTGGGGAGCAGTCATGGCGTCCATCTATACAGTCTATGAATATGTATTATCAGAATCAGAATCAGAAGTACTTGTAGGGAAATTCAAATGTTACAGAGCCCCTGAGAAAGAGGTTAAAGAGCAAAAGCAGGTATAAACATAGCCGTATAAAATATAAAATCTGTTTACGCTGTAAACCCTCCTTCCTTAACCTCGCACAGATCATTGGAGTTGTGAAAGTCCTCTCATCCATCATGTCTCAGCATGAAATGGATCATGTGTATGTCAAATGACTCTAAATAAGATAATGTGATTATACTTCTGCCTTCTCAAGTCGTGTCTTAAGGGACCTAAAGAAGTGACCTTAGTTTGTCAGATCATTTGATGTGCTGATGCAGGACTTAAAGAGTTCCACTTGGCTCTCTCTCTGCTTTGAGACAGACAAGGTTCACAGCCACCTCCATCATTAACTGATATTCGACTTCATGTCTGAGGGAGTACTGAGCCTCACAGCTTTTTAGATTATTCATCATTTCATCATCAGTAACTGAATCAATAAAGAAGCAAAATACGCCACTGAACATTATCCAAGGTTCATTTTTCAAGTCATCCTCTAATCCCTGGTAGGAGGCAGCGGTGATCATATTAAGATGTTGTAGATGTGACTGTGTTTCTATGTAATGTAATGATCTCACAGCAGTCAGTATAGTGAAGGAATAACTGGAAGTTGGTATGTTGGGGTTATAGATAAGGTGCATAGAAAGGTAATCAGGATTTTTAAACTTGGTGCCATTACATTTAAGTGTTTATCTGGTGATTATTTTCCTTTCTTTAACTTTGGGAGGGGGTGTTTTTCAACATGGTAATTTCTCTCTTGATTAAATTAATCTGACATGTTAAGGGGACTGATGAGTTATATCCAATTATTTTGGTGCAGATCCAAGTAAAAATGTGGATCTAGTGAATTTAAATGTGTTTTCATATGGAGAGCCCTGATGAAGGTTATGTTTTCACTTTGTCTGTCAGGTATTACTCAAGATAAATACATTGAATGACTTTTGAAAAACAATAATGCTATAAGCTTATAACAATAAGCTTCAGAGATAAATAGCCCACAGTGAAATGCAGTGTTGTTTGAATGACAAGAGTGAAACAGCCCGCAGTATTCAGTCTCTTCAGGGAATCTTGTCAGGAAACCAGACTCAGTTTGCCCCAAGAACAGTGTCCCAGGTATACATGCAGCTGTTTCCACGTGGTAAAGTATATGGTTAAGTTCAGCACCTTTCGTATCGTGTATCATAACCTTAGGGTTTGAAGGGGTTAACACGCTTCCTCCCAGAGTGAGGATGTGTCTCTCATCCTGGATCAAGTACTGCTCTGGCCTGGAGCGAAGGACCTCATCCATATTTCTGCTGCTCCAGTTGTAAAAGATGTTCAGACCACAGGATTAACTGTCAGATAAATGAGAATTTGCAGCTTAGAGTTTCACATGTGGGTCAACTGATGATTCAAAGGGATGAAAAATGTCTACGTGTATTTATTTTGATTGGTTTCCATGGATTACATTTATGGCTGCAATCGTTGTATTCTTTAATTGTCATGACTTTATCTTAGCTGCAGGTAAAGTGGTTACTAAAAAACAGTGTGCAGTAACATGACAATGAATGCTTCAATCACGGTCATGTCACAAACCATTTAAAATAATGGAGGACTTCCGAAGATAATAATAATGTAATATTTGTGTTTATGCTGTTCGCATGATGCTCCGTACGAGTCCTGTCATGTTTAAAGTGGACTTTAATGGAGCTCCAATTGTATTTTCCTCTTGTTTTCTGTCAGCCTCTATTTTTGTAACCGTTAAGAGTATGTAGCATCTAGATGTGATGAGACTTGCTTTTAATGTCAGGATGCAGGATAAATATGGACCAGTGTGTGTGCAGATGTGCGTGCAGGTTTGGTGTGTTGTCTTGTACGATCCACCTCTGTCCTCAGATGCTCCTGCTTTGCATTAGAGATCATTATGTTCAGCCCTCAAGGTTTAACTGAATTAAAGCTCTGATTTGCTCTTAAGATTGCAAGCACAGTCAGTAAAGTGCTCAAGAGTGACAACCAAGACACGAGGGGTGTGCAGGGACTATTCGTTCAATATACATAATGAATGAACAGACATAATAAACATTATTGTAGGGAACCTGGGTTTCAAAGACATGTGGAAAACTTTTCATCACAGAATGACAGTCAGATACATTTTAGATATGCAGTAGAACATTTACACTGTAAAACATAAAGATTCTTCTAGTCAAAAAGAGTTGTGTAGTTCCCTTTAGTTCCTGTGTTAAAGCTCTGCAGCTATACTTCAGAATTATTCCTCCTGAGTCCTCCTCAAACAGTTCTACAATATATTGTTACTTTTTATTGTGTGTGTGCTGGAGGTGTGCAGAGCTTGTTATAAACAGTCTATGGTGCAGAGAGAAGTTAGAACACTGTGTTCATCCTACCTGGTTTTTCTGCAGTGAAGATATTATAGTCTTCATAATGCATCACAAAATACATTGCAGAGCACTGCACTTTCTCTGGAAATGTACTAATGACATTCCAAGGGTGATGTCGAAGATGAAGGATTTGCGAGATATGCGTTTCTAACAGACAGACATTTGTGGAATTGGTATGTAAATGAGTGAACTTCCATGATTCATCTTAAAGTTTATAAAAGAAGTGAACACTAACATTGGAAGTTAGTTTGGCTGCTAAAGACAGCTGCAGTCAGGAGATAATACCCTGTTGGTTTGTCACTTAAAATGAACACATTACATTAAACAGTGATTTTATTTATTTAGTGATAAATTAAGATTAAGTTAGTGATAACACATGATTTATTTTGAGAATATAACAGGATGAGATTATACAATGTAGTGGCAGTATGAGGGATATATGTTTATCGCTTTTGAAATATCAATATAACAGAATACTATAGCTTTACTGCAGCTTATAACACATATATGTGTAGTATGTCCAGATTCTTGTCTAAATCATATGATGGAACAAAATGAGGAGCCATTTTATGAGTGTGATTTTACTGGTGAATCTCAGTGATCAAACCTTTTTTTACGTGCTGCACTGAAGCGTATATCACTGCTTTGTCAAAGAGAAGCACACAGACTCACAAGATAAATGACTTTCAAAGCTAATGATTGCATTCCTGTGTGCAAAGGTAAGTTAACGCCCCGGGCTAGATAATATGGCTTTCTTTTCGCTCCCAATTATTTTCCACCAGTAGAACATCAAACTGATCAACTGGCAGTTTGCCGCCATGGACTGACACATTCACAGTTTAGACAGATTATATCAACCAGAGTGTGTTTGAATCGTGATGACATATGAAAATGTCTTCTTGTTTCCATTACTCAGTCCGAACACAAACAAAACAGGATGTTTATGAAAACAGTTTTCAGTTAGTAATCAGGAAATTAGCTAGTCAACGTGAGACTTTTCGGAAAAGACATCATGAAGAGGTTCTTTTGGAGGTCAAGGTCACATGAGGTCACAGCGGAAGTCTCTTATGTCTGGCTCGACAGGTCCAAGTGGTTATTTAGCTTGATTGTGATGTGAGATGATTTCCGCACTGCCCCGAAGTGGAATGCGATCAGGAAAGTGAGAGGTTTAAAAACTGCCCATCAGTGCCTGTGACCCCGGATGGCCCCGGCTAACAACCAGAGCTGCCTGGGATGCTTGGGGCGAGTAACATAAGACAAATTCTGCGAGACACTCTTGCAATCCTGGTGTGGCACGCAGACTTCTCATCTCTCTGAAATACCTTCAAAGCCCTCATAGATATGCCAGCTTGGATACCAGGCTTCTTTTCACAGGTCATGCAACCTCAAGTCGCCATTTCCATTTCTGCGACATGTGTGTTGCTTGTTTGTTTGGTAAACATGTTACACCTGTCAGAGGAATGCTGGTTGCTAACGGGCCAAGTCCAACACCATTTATTATCCTCTGTGTGGCACTTTCCCCTTCTTCTCGCCTCCCTCGCTCTTCCATCTGTTGCCCTCGCAACAGTGAATGCAGTAAGTGTGAAGGAGTGAATGTGTGAGGAAAAGCGTGTGCGTGTGGATGGGTTGGTGTGCACGTGTGCACAGAGGCTACTGGGTTGTTGTCTGGATCGCTGCAATGTAATGGAGACAGAGACTCTGTTTTTATTTATCCATGCCCCAGCTGTCACTGTTGTGTCTGGAGTGTGTTCGCTGAACTCAGGGCTGTGGGACACTTGGAGATCTGTCAAGTCCACTGACCCTCCCAACCACATAGAATGTTACAGCCCTGAACACACCCTGGATTCTTGTTACAGAAAACAAAAGCTGAGACAGACGACTTTCAGGAAATGTGCAACCTTTACCTGACTCTCCTTCCCTTAAATTTATAGTGTACAGAGCAGCAAAAACTGAGGTTAATTCAGAATTCATTTCATTTTTATATTATCAATAAATGTGGAATCATCTGTCAATGTTACCTTACTATGTAAAGTGCCTTGAGATAAAATATGATTTGGTGCAGCACAAACTGAATTGAAATGAATTGAAGCAACACTGGCTAGAATAGAAATTTTACATTTAAACACGTTGGATGACAAACTTGGTCTCTATATTTAACATGTTTTTACTACTCACAGAGAACTATCACACCAACTCTCTAAACGTATCAGAAAACTATTGCCTTTAAAAGCTAAAACAACTAAAAAGAGTAAATTATTTTATTAGATTCAAATGAACATTAAGTAACATTAATGGAAACTAATATATAAGCATATTAACAAAATAATGTTAGGGCTGGTTGAGATGGAGATTTGAACTATATGGGCAGTTTAAACACTTAAAACAAGATATATTATAGATTGATATATTTTGTAAATTATATCTACTTTTTGTATTAAATCTGCACATTAACTTATAACCAAAGCTGTCTAAAGTGTAGGATATCTGTATTATTAGAAGCAGAAAATAGAAAAAGAAAATTAATGATGTACTTTTGACAGCAAAGGTCCTTTATGCACGAATTAGTTTTATTCAAAGGTACAGAATAAAAACCCATATGGTCATTTCAGGTTGGAAGATAAATGCATGTATGATCATGTTTGGCCACCAGGAGGCAGATAGCTTAGCTTAGCATAGTTCAGCATAAAGATGGGAAACATCAGGGAAACTCTCGCTCAGGTTGTGGTTTTGCGAAGTCTTCGTGATGACCTCGTGTTTTCTTCCTGGAACACTAAATATTTTACTTTGGACAATGCAGGCTAACTGTTTTCTGTGTTTATGCTAAGCTAAGGTAAACGTGGTTTTATCTCTTGTTTTGACTCAGGCAAGAAAGCAGTAGCAAAGAATATTCATCTTTACCAAAATTTCAAAGGTGAGTTAAGTCAGAAGATATTTTGTCATTGCAGTACATCAGCAGATGGGAGACATTGACCCTTCTCGAGAGTTCTCTTCTTACACATGTAGACATTTGCTTTGATGTAAATGAAATAGTTCCACATGATGTGTGATTATGTTTTAAAGCTGCTGAGGGCTCATCTGCAAACAGATTGTGTTTAGCCCTGAGGGGTAATTTCTTTTCACAAGTCAGTCAGTGTAAAAATATATTTTTTTAAAAGCTTGTAAACAGTAACTATTGATTAAAACATTTGAGACACGTAGAGAAAAAGTCTCCTCTTGTACAAATGATGTATAAAAGTTCTGGATATTAGTCTTTCTACACAGAGTACAGTCTATTACTATTACCTACAGTGAATAAGGCTTACCACAGTGTGTCAATAATTATATTATAAATGTCAAGTTTCAAATAAAAGTTGCTGACTGAGCTGCAGTTCTAGTCTGTACATGCTGGTTGTGCAACGATGAAAATCACCATACTGGCACGTATTCA